TGCTTCCAATTCAGGAGGCATGGGTTCGATCCCTGGTTGGGGAACTAAGATCCCACATGCCACATGATGCGGCCACAAAAACAAAATAAAACAAAACAGTGTGGTACTAACAGAAGGATAGACATATAGACCAATAAAATAGAATTTAGAGTCCAGAAATAAACCCATACATCTATGCTCAATTAATGTTCAATGGGGGTAGGGGTACCAAATCATTCAATAGAAAAACAACAGTCTCTTCAGCAAATCGTCCTGGGACAACTGGTTATTGACATGCAAAAGAATGCAGTTAGACATTTCCTTCAGAATATATACAAAAATTAACTCAGAACAGACAAAGGCCTAAGTGTGAGAGCTAAAAATATGAAACTATTAGAAGGAAATAGGTGAAAATCATAATCTTGAATTAGATAATTTCTTATATATGAAACCAAACAATCAAACAACAAAAGATAAATTGGAGTTGACTGAAATTTAAAACATTTCTGCATCAAAGGAAGGACATTATCAAGAGTAAAAAGACAACCTTCAATATGAGAGAAAATATTTGCATATTATATACCTGATAAAGGTATACAACCCAGAATGTATATAGAACACTTATATCTCAAAAACAAACAAAAGAATCCAATTAAAAATGGGAAAATAATCTACTGCATAGATATTTCACCAAAGAAGACATGCTAGTGGCCAACAAGTTCATGAAAAATGCTCAATATCATTAGTTATTAGGGAAATGCAAATCAAAACCACAATAAGATACCACTCACACCCATAAGGATGCCTAAAATTTTTTAAATACAAAATATCAAGTGGTGATAAGTATTAGCGAAACTGGAACCCTCATACACTGCTGGTGGGAATGTAAAATGGTGCAGCTGCTGTGGAAAAGTTTGGCAAGTTCCTAGTAATTCCACTCCTAGTTATAAAAAAATTCACACAAAAACATGTAATATATGTGTTCATACCAGCATTATTTATAGCAGTCAAAAAGCAGAAACTGGGCTTCCCTGGTGGCGCAGTGGTTGAGAGTCCGCCTGCCGATGCAGGGGACGCGGGTTCGTGCCCTGGTCTGGGAGGATCCCACATGCCACGGAGCGGCTGGGCCCGTGAGCCATGGCTGCTGAGCCTGCGTGTCCGGAGCCTGTGCTCCGCAACGGGAGAGGCCACGGCAGTGAGAGGCCCGCGTACCACAAAAAAAAAAAAAAAAAAAAGCAGAAACCATCCAAATGTCCATGAACTGAGGGATGGAAAAACAAAATATGGTAACTCTACAATGTAATATTATCCAGTCATAAAAAGGAATGAAGTATTCTTACATGCTATAACAAGGATGACCCTTGAAAATATAATGCTAAGAGAAAGAAACCAGACAAAAAAAGGCCACGTAGTATATGACTCAATTTATATATAAAAGGTTCAGAATAGGCAACTCCATAGAGACAGAAAGAAGATTTAGTGGTTGTTAGGGATGAGGATGAGGGTATAATTGGGACTAAGTGCTGATAGGTATGGGATTCTGGAAAAGAAAAAGGACATTAGGGAAAAGTTAAGGATATCTAAATATTAAAGTACTGATATGAACTTCAGTTAACAATAAGGTGTCAATATTAGTTCACTAATTATAACAAATGTATCATATAAAGATATTAATAATGGAAAATAGCTGTGGGGTATACAGCAACAGAAAAAACAAAACAAAATAAAATAAAATAAAAGGCTTAGTGTCAATGACACAATACCTACTGGTCTAAAATATATGTAACTAAAGCATTAGAAGAAGAGAAAAAAGAGACAGGAAAATATTTTTTAAATAAATAGGCAAATGGGTTCCAATACTGACCAAAACTACAACCCTAAGATCAAAGAACCCTAAGCATGATAAATGCAAAAAACAAAAAAAACCCAACCAAGGCACATCATAATCAATTTCCTGAAAAAGATATGAACAAAAAAGTTTTAAAAAAAGTTTAAATGAGTCTGCGGGGGGTGGGGGGAACATGTACAGAGGAACAAAGATAAAAATTTCCTCAGACTTCTTATCACAAACTATCTAAGGCAAAAGACAATGAAATGACATCTTTAAAGCCTTAGAAGAAAACAAACTACCAACATATAATTCTATATCCAGCTAAAATAACCTCCACAAAAAGGCAAAATAACTCCCCTCCAAATAAAGAAACGAAAACCTGTAAAAATTCATTACCAGAAGTACTGCATTACAAGAAATGTTAAATGAAATTCTCTTAGGCTAAAGCAAAATGATATCAGATGAAAATGTGAATACAAAGTAATAAGAAACATCAAAATTGGTAAAATAAGGAGAAATATAAAATACTTTTCACTCAAATTTATTTAAAAAGAAATTTTAAAGTAAGCACAATAGTATATCGTGAGATTGATAATGAACAAAGAAATGGGAAATATGATAAAAACAGTGCATAATAGGAGAAATTTAAGTACACTCATGTATTTTAAATATTAAATGATCTATTACTTAAAAGTAGACTTGACAAATTAAGGAAGTGTACTGTAAATTTAAAAGAAACATCTATATGGTAATTTTAAAAAGAAGTATAGTAAATAAGCCAATAGCACTGATAAAATGGAATATGGAAAATATGCATTCAAATTCAAAAAGGTGAGGAAAGGAGGCCAAAAGTATAGATGAGATAAATAAAAAACAAAGCAAACTATTGGTTTATACAATATAGTGTAGAGCCATTTCTCCCTGCTCCTCTCTGTAAAACTCTTCCTATGAAACAATATGAGACAATCAACAGTGAACTGTGAAAAGTGTTAAGAAAAAGGCAAACTGGTTTATGACCCCAGGACTGGAGGAACAACTGTAGCACGTCCCTCCACTCAACAGAAGAAGGCCATCCAGACTCACTGTTTCCCAACCCTCAACCTAGCAACAGAAAGTAGGTAGTTTCATTCTTCTCCCCAGATTAAAAGGGAGTCCTTTTGACAGCTCCAGGCAAGCCAGAACCGCTGGCAAAGGGGACTGATCTAGAAGATCCCATCCAACAACAGGCAGCCTGGGGAGGCACCCCCCTCCCCTACCAAGAAACAGAGGTAGGTGGGCCAAAATGACAAGAGAGACCCAACCAGCACAAGCACCTTGTCAAGGAAGCCTCTTTGCCTCCACAGGCTAAGATTTCTCTTTTCACTGAGACACCAATTGAATGGTGAGATATATCATATTCATGGATCAGTAGAGTCAATATTATTAAGAGGCCAATTTTCCCCAAACTGACTTATAGAGTCAGTGAAATCATAAAAAAATATTAAAGCAGTCTTTTTTTAAAAGAAATTGACAAGTTCATTCTAAAATGTATGTGAAAATGCAAAGGACTTAGAATAACCAAAACAATTTTGAAACAGGAGAACAAAGTTAGAGAACTTATACTATTTCCAAAAAGATTTACTATAAAGATAAGGGAACACAGACAGTGTAAAGAAGATATAAAGGTCAGAGGAACAAAATAAAGGGTCCATAGATAGACTCCCCCACATAAACAAATAATCAAATGATTTTTAAAAAGATGCCAAGTTAATTCAGTGGGGAAAGGGTAGTCTTTTCAACAAATGGAGCTGAAACAGTTGAATATTCAAATGAAGTAATATAAACCTAGACCCTTACCAAAGACCACATACAAAATGTACTCAAAATAGATCATACACCTAAACATAGAGTTAAAACATTTAGAAAACATGGGAAAAAAATCTTCGATGCCATTGGATCTGCAAAGATTTCTAAGAAAAGAAAAAACTGGTAAGCTGAACTTCATCAAAATGAAAAGCTTTTTGTGAAAAACCACAGACTGGGGAAAATATTCACAATTAATAAAGAACTCTTATAACTCAATAATAAGAAGACAAACAACCCAAACTAAGAAGAGGCAAATGATATGAACAGGTGCTTCGCAAAATAAGATATACAAATGGCCAATAAGCAACTGAAAGATGCCTAATGTCATTATTCATCAGGGATATAAATGAAAACTACAATGAAAAACCTATACACTCCTTAGAATGGCTACATCAAAAAGTGACAATACCAAGCATTGACAAAAATGTGGAACAACTGCAACTCTTGCACACTGCTGACGGAAACGTAAGATGGAACAACCACTTCAAAAAAGTTTGATATTGCACATAATAACCCTACCAACCCAGAAATTTTACTCTTAAGTATTTAACCGAGAGATATAAAAACACCAGTCTACACAAAAATGCACATTAAGTTCATTACAGCTATGTTCTTAACAATCAAAAACTGCAAAGAACAGGCAAATGGATTAAAAAACTGTAATATATGCATACAGTGGAATACCACTCAGCAATAAAAACGAAGGTATTTACTGATACATGCTAAAACATGTATGAATCTCAAAATCATGCTGAATGAAAGAAGACAAACAAGAGGACATCTTGTATAATTCCATTTATGTGAAATGCAATTAAAAAATCAATCTAACCTAGTGCTAGAAAGCAGATCACTGATTTGCCAGGGGCCAGAAGGGAGAGGGACATCCCAGGAGGGACTGGGAAGGGGAATGAGGAACACTTCTGCATATAGGGTATGCTGTCTTTCTTAATTGCAGGAGTGATTACATATGGTTATACTATTATTAAAACTCATTAAATCAGCTACTTAAATAGGGTATATTTTACCACATTTAAATTATACTTCAAAGTTGATTTTAAAAAAACTCAAACCTTATTACTTTATATTAAAACTGAAAAATTTAAAAATCATAAACACAAAAATGGACAATATTGTTATAGTTACATAGTCATATGCTATTTTTTTAAGTTTTCTTAATATGGACCATTTTTAAAGTCTTGATTGAATTTGTTACAATATTGCTTCTGCTTTATGTTTTGGTTTTTTGGCCACAAGGCATGTGGGATCTTAGCTCCCTGACCAGGGATCGAACCCACACCCACTGCATTGGAAAGTGAAGTCTTAACCACTGGACTGCCACAGAAGACCCCATATATTACATTTTATTAAAATGAGTCAACTAAAGCAAAATATATCAACATGTATAAATACCAAAACCATGCATTTGAAGACAAAAGTTGCAGAACACGTTCCCAGTGATATACCTGTAAAACAATGTTATATCACACACATAAACGCAATAATATATGTGTATTATTGTAAAAGTAATGAGACATGTGGGATCAGTATTAACCAAATTTAGAATACTGTGGAAGGTGGTAACAGCTATAGGATATAGAATGGGCTATGAAAAGCTTCCTGTAAATTTAAATGGGAGCACTGAGGTCTTATGTCCTAGAGTATTCTAGCCAGTACTCTAGCTTCATTCACACTCAATGTTTCCGGTTACTGAACCTAAGAAGAGGAAGCAGAAGCAGTCTCAATGCTGCCCCTGGCTGATCCTGGCAATTGTTCTGGGGATCTAGTCCATTCTGAGATCCCCTAGAGGTAGGCCCCTGGATGAACCGGACAATTAGGCAGTACAGTCATCCCTCAGTATCTGCTGGGGACTAGTTCCTGGACACCTCTTCAAATATCAAAATCAGCTGATGCTCAAGTTCTTTACAGTAGGCCCTCCATACTCTTGGGTTCTGCATATGTGGAGTCAACCAACCACAGAACCGCAGATAGGAAAACACAGACATGAAGGACCAACTGTATTTGCATGGGTAACAGCACAGTTGGGGTGCAGACTCATCAAAAACATGTGATGGCTCATGATGTGGAAGGCCATGGGCTGATACGTGTTTCTCCAAAAGTAGAATCAGAGACTGAGATTATTCAATTTATTTGTGCTTTTAAAAAAGCTTCATATTCCCGTTAATATTTTTATAAATGTCTATTTTCAGTTTTATTTCTACTAAAAAATTTGAAATAAGTGCAAAATATAACTTTTAGAATAACATCATATCTAAAGGAAAATTTCTGTCCATACTTCCTAAGTTGACAGACTTCCTTCAAAACAATCTTCAGATATAATAAAGTCTGAATTCTGTTAAAGCCTTCACATTCAAAACATCTTTAAGACTTCATCTCTACATCGCCTTGTTCAGTAAAATGGCATTTCTTGAAATAGGCTCAACTATATTTGCTGTATTCTTCAGGTCTCTTCCCTATTATTTCCCTGACATACAGCAAGTACAACTTGTGTATGAAGTTTTCAAAAAAATACAAGATGTTGACAGTTCTCCCCAGGTGTAGTTTATCTGACTGTTAGTAATGGCCAAGTTCTGGAAGAACATTTTCCTACATACATTTGATTCACAGGATTATCTCCTACGTAAGTTATTTGTTTAACAAGCCCTAACTTATAATATTTCCCCCCATTTCCCATATACATTAGTAGGGTTTCTTCATGTATTCATTTTTTAGTTGTCTTATTAATAGATATTCATTACATTCATAGTAATTTCCCCTGTGGTTACTCTTTCATTTACTTTGGAATATGACTTAGGGTAAAAAAATTTGCCACTTGACATTCATAGGGGTCATGTTCTGTGTGAATTCTCCATAGTATTTCAAGGTATGAAATGCTAGATACTAAGATTTCTCTCATTGCTAAATTTAAAAGATTTTTTCCCCTGTATGTAATTTTGAATGTACTGTGAGAACTGATTTCTTAGAGGTTTTCACACACTCAATACATTCATAGGGTTTCTACCTTATGTGTCTTCTCTGATGTACTTTGAGACCTGAGTTGCAACTGAAGGTTTTCCCACAATGACTGCATTCATAGGGTTTCTCCCCTGTGTGTGTCCTCTGATGTTTAGTGAGATCTGACTTATGATAGAAGGGCTTCCCACATTCATTACACTTATAAGGTTTTTCCCCTGTGTGTATCCTCTGATGTACAGTGAGGACTGATTTCTCAGAGAAAGATTTCCCACACTCCTTACATTCATAGGGCTTCTCCCCTGTGTGAGTTCTCTGATGTGATCTGAGGACTGAATTGCAAGTGAAGGTTTTCCCACACTGATCACAGTGAGAAGACTTCTCCCCTCTGTGTGTTCTCTTATGTACTGTATAGTCTGACTTATAGTAGAAGGTTTTCCCACATTTTTTACACACATAGGGTTTTTCCCCTGTGTGAGCTCTCTGGTGTACTGTAAGGTATGAATTTCTAGAGAAGAATTTCCCACATTCCTTACATTCATAGGGTTTCTCACCTGTGTGAGTTCTCTGGTGTTTAGTGAGATCTGACTTATTGTAAAAGGTTTTTCCACATTCATTACACTTATAAGGTTTTTCCCCTGTGTGTATTCTCTGATGTACCGTGAGGACTGATTTCTCAGAGAATGATTTCCCACACTCATTACATTCATAGGGTTTCTCCTTTGTGTGTGTTCTCTGGTGTACTTTTAGGCCTGAATTGCGACTGAAGGTTTTCTCGCACTCATTACATTTGTAGGGTTTCCTCCCTATGTGAGTTTTCTGGTGTTTAGTGACATCTGACTTATGACAGAAGGTTTTCCCACATACCTTACATTCATATGGTTTCTCACCTGAGTGAGTTCTCTGATGTACTGTAAGGTATGAATTCCTGGAGAAAAATTTCCCACATTGACTACACTCATAGGGTTTCTCACCTGTGTGTGTTTTCTGATGTACTGTGAGAACTGAGTTGCTTATGAAGGTTTTCCCACATTGATTACATTCATAGGGTTTCTCCCCTGTGTGAATTCTCTGGTGTACTGTGAGATATGACTTATGGTAGAAGCTTTTTCTACATTCCTTACATTCATAGGGTTTCTCTCCTGTGTGAGTTCTCTGATGAATTGTGAGGTGTGAATTCCTAGAGAAGGATTTCCCACATTCATTACATTTATAGGGCTTCTCTCCAGTGTGGATTCTCTGATGTAAAGTGAGAAGTGACTTCCTAGAGAAGCATTTCCCACATTCGTTACATTCATAGGGTTTCTCTCCTGTATATAGTCTCTGATGTTTGGTGAGTTTTGATTTTTCACAGAATGCTTTTTCACGTTCATTACATTCATAGACATTGTCTCCTATGCCTGTTCTCTGAGTTACATTAAGAACTGACTTCTCCCAGAAAGGTTCCCTCAGGTTAGATTCAAATGTTCTCTCTCCTGTGTCAGGAAAGTCTGATCTGCTGAAATTATCCACTTTTTCAATATGTTCATAATCTTTCACCTTCAAATGAACTCTATGTTTCAAGAGAGATAATTTCTCAGAGGCTTTACCATATTCATTAAACTCATAAAGACTTTCTCTTTTTTGGGGGGTTGAATAATTACAGAATGTTTTATCACATTCCCTATGTTCACAAGGACTCTGTCCCTTGTGAGCTTGTTTATATGTGATGAAAAGTGTCTTCTCACAGAAATCTTTCCCACGTTCTTTGTAGTCAAAAGAATGCTCTACATTTTTAATTTTCTCATATGGCATGAAGTCTTCATTATGACTGAGGTACTTTCCATTTTGAATGAATTCATAAGGTATCTCTCCCACATGAGTTTTTTCATGGTTAATATGAAGGAATAATTTTCCATATGCGCTGAGATCATCAGACTTCTTTCTTAAATAGTTTTTCTCAATAATTAATTCTGAAATATATTTCAAACTCATACCACTTGTGTCACATTTACAAGGTATTTTTACAGAAGAAACTGGGTATGTGCTGAAATTAAACATTTTTCCTAATACATTACCTCTCTCTATAGTCAGTGTTTTGTTGTTGATAAACGGAGCTTGCCCGAAATGTCTGTCCTGGATTTCCTGATTCTGCTCTAGCTGATTATCAACTTTGCAGACTTCTGGAAAAGAGAAAAAAAACACTAAGTTATTAATTTTATTACTATTATGATAAACTTACACTTACATACAAATGCCCTTTTATATGATTGACTCAGTTTCTTGAAATAAGAGTAATCCAAGATGTTCATGTCCCTCATCCTTTTGGCTTAGAAGAAATAAACAAAGCCTGACAGAGTAGAAATGGGGGATAAAAACTTAGAATGAACCCATCTACATTTAACAATTTATAAATATGTACTTCAAGACTTAACATAGGTTAAAAATAAATACAAATCACAGTGAATAAAGGAAGACAGACTTTGAAAAAAAAAAAGACTGATTCAGGTGTTGGAAATGCAGAGAAGCAGAGAGGCAATGATTAGTAGGTAAGAGTACCCTGGAGAAATATCAGAGGACTGATTTGATCTTTTGAAGGATACAGATTAGACTTTACATGATATACTTAAAATACTGCAGCTAAATCTCTATGATTTACATGTTTCTAGTTCAATTCTCCTCTTTTTAAAATTATTTTAATTTTCTCTTATATATTGCTAATTTATTATACTGTTAATACCAAATTAAATTTATGGAAAAGTACCAATTTGTTCCTGCTTAAGGAGACCTGTAGCCTACTTTCTTATTCATTCTCTACTCGTGTGACTTACAAAGAATACAAATGTCTACCAAGAAATGTAAAATCAAAGAGACAAGGAAGACTGCCAGAGGGCCAGATCCATTTGTTTTTTTTTTGTTTGTTTTTGTGGTACGCGGGCCTCTCACTGTTGTGGCCTCTCCCGTTGTGGAGCACAGGCTCCAGATGCGCAGGCTCAGCAGCCATGGCTCACAGGCCCAGCCGTTCCGCGGCATGTGGGATCTTCCCAGACTAGGGCACAAACCTGTGTCCCCTGCATCGGCAGGCGGACTCTCAACCACTGCGCCACCAGGGAAGCCTGTTTTTAGTTTTAGTATATTCAGGTTATTCTCTAAGAGTTTTTGCAAAAGTTAACCTATCCAACCATCAAATGCTAACTTTTCCTCATCTTAAATTTTCTGTGACAAATTTAATATGTTAATGTATTTTTTTGTTTTTAAACCCAGATCTCTACATTTCTGGGTGTTATTTATATTTAAAACCATGGAGGACCTGACCTAAAATATTCACTGATACTTACATTTATTTATCCTAAGAATTCTCAGCTAGACTTCATCTTGTTATCTTCCTGTTCAGTATTTGCAATATAACAGTGATGACCCTGTTCAAAAACCTGTCCAGAGCCCACTGTCTCCAAGCATCATTAGACAAAATAGACTGTAGTTACCATCCTGGGGGGAAAAATACTTTTTCCAACTATATTCATATTGGGTAACCACAATATCACTCCACAAGGCCATAATAAATGTATTCTTTCTAGAAATGACAGACTATTAATTTGCCAGAAATTGTTCAAGTTCAACCAAGACTTTCACTAAGCTGGTTTACATTCCCATTTTGGCTTTGCTTAGAATTTAAACATTAAACATCAGGGAAATGACACTGTCTCACATCTGTTTCCCAATATGTCTTTACAAACATCTCTACAATTTCAAGTTCTATTTACACTGAAATTTAAAATTTATTACATTCTGTACATCTCATTCTATCACAACAATGGACAATACTCCTTTGTAACATAAACATCCTCTATTAATTGCTGAAATTTAAAATACTCAGTTGTCTTTTCTTTTTTTCCCCTTCTTTTCCCAACTATATCCCATGGTCTTACAAGTGTTTACCTCTGATTTCCTTTGAATACCTTGAGTGGATATGGAATTAATAATGGTCCTTAACAAGCAGTGTGCTTTTCAAAACACAAATCTCAAATTTTATTCAAACCTGTAATTTTTGAACAAGAATCTAAAGGTTTAAAATTCAATATGTGCATTCAGAAGTTAATTCTTTTGTAGTGTCTTCTGAATGAATCAATATAAAGGCCCTCTCACTCATCAAGAGTAACAATTAAGTAATGATCCAATATCCATTATAAGTTATATAACAAAATAAGATATGCTCTCTTTGGAGAAAGCATAATATACATAAGAAAACAGCCTCATTCAATATCCATACACTATCAAGAATTAGAATCTACAGCAGATAATGTATATCAAAACAAGTACAAAACATTTCATAAAAGCTGGGGAACCTTGAGCTTAAATTTTAAAATTTATCAAAATATTTTTACTTCAAAGGATAAAAATTAAAAATAAACTAAAGTGAATACATGTTGCAACATGTATACACATATATTATAAGCTAATGGGAAATACCAAGATTTGTTGGAAATACCTCTTAAAAATAACTGCTTATTAAATCTATAATTTTTCTTATGAAAATAATGTACAAATAACTCATTAATGGGTATAATCAATATTTAAAACAAATCATTCATTTCAAAGCACTGTTAAAAAGCACATAAATACAGAGACTTTCAAGCTTTCTCTTTTATATCAATAAATTCTAAACTGATTTTTTTTTTTTGTTGTTGTTTTTTTTGTTTTTGGTTTTGGTTTTTTTTTTGGTATGCGGGCCTCTCACTGTTGTGGCCTCTCCCGTTGTGGAGCACAGGCTCTGGAGGCACAGGCTTAGCGGCCATGGCTCACGGGCCTAGCCGCTCCGCGGCATGTGGGATCTTCCCAGACCGGGGCACGAACCCATGTCCCCTGCATCGGCAGGCGGACTCTCAACCACTGCGCCACCAGGGAAGCCCTAAACTGATTTTTAATGGATATAGTTTCTATTCTGTTTCATGAATGGTAAAGACAGGATCTGAAGCACAAAGACAAAGGAAGTAGAAAACCACAAGTATTTAAATAAAAATCAGTGGATGGTCACCTTAAGGCAAGCACTGAGTATAAAAAAAAACTAATTAATAAATATAGCATTCTATATAGTGGAATAACATCCCTTTTTGGATCACTAACCAAAAAGGGCTAAATTATTTAAAAACAAATATGGTAGTACTGAGTTTATACCAATTATTAGACCAAATTCTTTGGGAGGGGCACATCAATGAATAAACCTTAATCCTGACCCCAGGACCTTAGTACATAGTAGAGGAAATGTGGAAAGTGGATGCACAAATACAGCTATACTATATTGCAGAATGTAATAAACACATAAAAGAGAAATGAAGGATTATGAGAGTGGGAACAGGTAGAGATTTTTTTTTTTGAGGGGATCTATGAAGGCTTTTTAGAGGAAAGGGTAGAAATTTTTTTGTTGTTGCTGTTCTGGACTTACAAAGGATATAAAAATTATAAAACAGATTTATTTTAGTATTATATTTTGAAATGAATAAGAAAATCAAACAATGGCAAAATATATAGCTCCCTCTGAATATTAATAATTTTTATCATGGTAAATGAAGCATTATATGAATCTGCTGTACAAATACTGAACTATGACCAATTTAGTCATTAATATGTAGAGGGGATAATTTCCAAATTCTAAATATGAGTTTGGGTATTTTTCATCTTATAAATATTACTTGTTTTGTGAAAATATAATTTTAAGCAGAGTGCTCTTTTTTGCTCAAAAAATTATTTATGGAAATATATTATTTTTCTCCTTTGCCTCAGATGTTCGACAAAGTCAAGAAATAATCTAAAAAGAGTAAAAAAACAAAAAAACAAGAAAAATGCTTAAAAATATTAATAATGATAATAACAAGAAAACTAACAAACCATCTCCATGAGCCAGGCTCTGTTCCATGTACTTTTCACATATTAATTCATGAGAATCACTGAGTACATAGGAATCAAACATAGAGCTGTAGGGAAGGAAAGCATATATATGGGTGATAGGAAGGATTAAATGGGAGTTTAGCACCCCCAGTTTTGTGCCAGCATCATTAAGGGACTTCCCTGGTGGTCCAGTGGGTAAGACTCCATGCTCCCAATGCAAGGGGCCCAGGTTTGATTCCTGGTTGGGGAACCAGATCCTGCATGCATGCCGCCACTGAGTCTGCATGCCGCAACTAAGAGTCTGCATGCTGCAACTAAGAAGTCCACATGCTGCAATTATGAGCCCGCATGCCGCAACTAAAAAAAAAAGATCCCGCATGTCTCAACTAAGACTTGGCACAGCCTAATAAATAAATATTTTTAAAAAACATCATTAAAAGAGAAAAACTTAAATTTCATATATTACACATTGGGAAAAATGTAACTCAGGCTACTAACATGATAAATTAGATGCTTTGGGGGGGAAAGTATAATTTCATTTAGAAACTAGAACAAACTAAAACAATATGGTTAGTGTTTTGGGTGGTGTCAGTGGAAAATGAGAAAATAAAAATATTTTTTAAACACTTTTACAAAAGTATAACAATAATAGTGATCTAGGGACTTCCCTGGTGGTCCAGTGGTTAGGAATTCACCTTTCAGTGCATGAGACGCAGGTTCAATCCCTGGTCTGGGAACTAAGACCCCACATACCACAGGGCAACTAAGCCCACATGCTGCAACTAGTGAGCCCGCGTGCTCTGGAGCCCACACACCACAACTAGAGAAGCCCAAGCCGCAACAAAGATCCCATGCATGGCAACAAAGAGCTGGTGTGCCACAATGAAAGACCCCACATGTTGCAATCCCGTGTGCCTCAATCCTGTGTGCTGCAACTAAGACCTGATGCATCCAAATAAATATTTTTTAAAAAACCAATAACAGTGATCTAATATCAGTAAGAAAGGATGATAGAGAGAAAAATAAAATGCTGCTATGTCAGTTTTAAGAGTAGAAGGTTCACAGAACCTAATAAATGAAGATTAGTAGGGAAGATTGTGATTTGTGAATGATGATTTTAATAGTAGTTCTTGCCACATTAGAGGAATTGGAGTATCCTGTTAGAGATGTTCTGCAGACACATAAAACACAGAATGCTGAGTGAGCAAAAGATGCTGAAGATACAAAGTTACTAAAACCTGATGTCTTAGATATAGGTTATTTTATTATTTGAAGATCCAATTTGACTGGTAAATTT